AGCTTGTTTTTCTCTGGTTCTTGCACCCCACTTCCAAACTCCTCTTTGGGCTTCTCACCCCTGCTACTACTAGAAGCCTTCCCTTTAGATACACCATTGCTTTGATTATCTTTTTTTTTCAAACAGCAAAATAAAATAATTAGAGCTAGAAGACATAGTGCGACGGCTCCTCCTACAGCAATGGCAATGATAGCACCCAATGCTAGTTTCTGTTTGGAGCTTTTTTTTCGAGGTGACACAGGGGGTGGAGAAGAAGTAGGTGATGGAGAAGGTGGAATAATGGAGCACGCTTGTAGTGGTGGTCCACATAAGAAAGAGTTTCCTATAAAAGAGGAATTGGGGAACTTTTTAAGGGACAGTGGGATTGAACCGTTAAGATGGTTGTAGCTTAAATTCAAGTGCCTGAGCTTAGTGTCATTTAATGTGGGAATGGGTCCAGAAAGGTTGTTGTTCTGAAGATTCAATCCAGTGAGTTGGGTCAAATTTTTTATGCTCTGCGGAATGTTTCCCGTTAAGGAATTGAATGAAAGATCCAATACAGTGAGTTGTGGTGAAAGGGATGCAGGAATGTCACCAGAGAAGTTATTATGTTGGAGAAAGAGGTAATGCAGAGAAGGAAGGGAGACAATATCAGAAGGTAGACTACCAGTTAGTACATTAGATCGAAGGCTTAAAATCCTAAGGGCATCTAGTTTCCCAAGAGTGTTGTTTGGAATAGGGCCTACAAGTCCAATTCCTGGGAGCCGGAGTGCAACCACACGAGTATCATCCTTTGTGCAAGTGATGCCCACCCAAGACTGGCAGATGGGATTAGTAGAGCTCCAGTTGAGTTTCCTTAGATGGGGAACCTCAGCTGCAAAATCAAGAAGGGCTTGTCGATCCGAGTTCAGGTCTGTAACAGCTGAAGCAAACAGATTGACTATGATAAATAGGAAAGCAAACACTGAAGTGAATTCTAACTTCATGAGGAGTTGTTTGACACAGGGTATCTGAAATTGAATGCCGTAACAGAAAGGAACCCGATGGAGGCCCTGAATTCCTGGTAAACCACAGAGCAACATTAGACACCTAGAAACACAAATCAACAACCACTAATAGAAAGAGTAAATAAATAATCAACAGGAATCTTTACAAGAAAAGAAAACAAGCTCCATCTATGGACAAGCCAAAACAATAATAACTACAAAGATTCGCAATTGTAAAAGCCAATGCAACAAATCTTTTCGTTAATTTTCCAAATGATAGAGATGGTGCTAATTTTCCCAAACAACAGAAATTATACAGGAGAATTCTTCCCTCGATTTCTTTCTGATCTATAAAGTATTAAAGTTATAAAACCATAAAAGTTATATTTTTATGCTTAAAAATATATGCACAGAAATAAAGCATTGCCTACTTCTGCTGCTAAAATGGAGCAATTTTTTTTTTTTTTTTTTTCCCATTAAAAATACACAATACTGAAACCCAAAAGTACTTGGTCAAAGCTAAGAAATTTAATAGCTATTTCAACCATTGAGGGACTGAAACATCTACATTCAGATAACATAATGAATTAGGGAATTTATCAACTTTTTCATTAAAAAGTTATCTCAAATTAAAAAAAAAAAAAGTTTGTTAAAAATACATAAAAGTAAGCATTAGCAAAAAGCAGCAATAAAAACAAAGAAATAATAATAAGTGTATGAAATTTAAAGCTCCATTACAAATACATCTAACTTTACCAATTACACAATAAGCACAAAACTTTCAATACAAAAAGAGTTTTAAATTCTCATAAACAACAAAAAATTATGACAATGCAAGCAACATAACACTAAACCCACAAAAAAATTTATAAACGTATATTCAGAAAACGGATTTTTTCGTAAAATAAACCACATTTACATAATCAATCAAAAACCCAGAATGACCCAGATCTACCAAGTGAAAAAGATGAAAAATTTAAAACTAAAAAAATGTAAATTGAAAGTGTACCTGTCATCCAATAATGAGTTGACAGGTCAACTCAGCTTGAACATTAGAGGTAAAACTGAAGAGTCTGTGCAATAGCATTTGCTCAGGAATGTAGGAAGTGGAGTTCCAGATCCAGCATTTGAGGTTGAACTAAAAAAAGTGAAGTGGGAAGTAAATTAAGATGAATTGGAGACACGTGGGGATGATGTGAGACATGTTAGAAGCAGTTGTTTTGAGCTGGCTAGAGGTTAAAGAAGAGAGAATTTTGTTAAAAAAAAA